TTCCAGTCCCCAAAGTTCAAGGAAACAAACCCTGCCTTTGTCTGTCCTTCTTTGGTTCTGACATGAGTCCAGCACTTTTATTTGTTTTCAAGCATTTTTCATATTCACAGTTATTTTTCAGCCTGAGATTAGCCATTTCTGCAATTTACTTCAAGACTGCTGTACCCTGGAGGGATTGGCTTTCTCCCAGAATCAAAGTCACCGATCCTAGACCCTCCCCATCCCTGCTGCAGTGTTACACAGCCTAGAAAGCAGAGAATAGAGGGAGAGGGCAAGGACTTTGGTACCACGTCAGCCTGAATTTCTTTTTTTTAAGTTGGTCATTAATAAGGACAGTAAGTTTACTTTTTAAAAAATTTTTAAGTCTTTATTGAATTTGCTACAATATTTCTTCTGGTTGTTTTTTTTTTTTTTTTTTTGGCTACGAGACATATGGGACCTTAGCTTCCTAATCAGGGATCAAACCTACATCCCCTATATTGAAAGGCAAAGTCTTTCTGTCCGCTGGACTGCCAGAGAAGTCCAAGCCTGGATTTCAATTGCTACTTGGCAACTGACTTGGAGGGAGACTTTAGACTTCTCACATAGTCTCATCTGTAAAAATGGAAATAATAATACCTATCTTAAGATATTAGATATAGGTATGTGAGCACTCAGTAAAGGTTCTCCTTTTCCTTCCACTTTCCTGAGAGCAAGGTTGGTGTCTCATGTTAGGTCCACACACAAGAAAACTGCAGCCTTTGTCAACAGAAGATTCTTGGTGATGTTTGTCAACCCCATGAGTAGAACTGCTTTTTCTCTTGACCTTAGGCAACTCTGTCCCTCTTTCTGAGTTTCACTTTCCTATCTTTTAAATGGGGATATGTGTGCAGGCATGCTAAGTTGCTTCAGTTGTGTCCAACTCTTTGTGACCCTATGGACCATAGCCCACAGGCTCCTCTCTCTATGGATTCTCCTGGCAAGAATACTAGAGTGAGTTGCCATGTTCTCCTCCAGGAGATCTTCCCAACCCAGAGATTGAACTGGCATCTCTTCTATCTCCTGCATTGGCAGGCAGGTTCTTTACCTCTAATGCCACCTCGGATGCCCTTAAATGGGAACAGCAGTAGCCAAATAACTGTAAGAAGAACTATGATTTACTGAATGTTTACTAGGTATCAGGTACTCCAGGGCTTTATGGGTGTATTTTAATTTAGTCATCATAATAGGCCCATGAGGCCAGGGCTATTTATATCCCCAAGGTCTCAGAAGAGGACACTGAGGCCCAGAGAAATAAAGTCCACGAGTCAGTCAGCTGCTAAGGGGCAGAGCTGGGATATAAATTCTGTTTTGCAGTACTCAAGACCATGATTTCTCATTGAGATGACATTTTAATCCAGGTAATTCTTTGCTGTAGGGGACAGTCCTGTGTACTATAGGATGTTTAGCAGCATCCTTGGTTCTACTCACCAGATGCCAGCAGTACCCATCACCCAGTTTGACAACCAAAACTGTCTGCAAACATTGCCAAAAGTCCCCTGGTAAGCAAAATCACCCTTAGTTAAGAATCATTGCCCTAGACACTAGATCCCAGACAGTGTTTTTTCTCTACAATAAGAGCAAGCCAGGGAAGCTTCTTTCCCTTCAAGTTTCCAGTAAAGAAAATCAGCTGCAGATAGCTACTACACTAATGCTAATACTATTTCATATTTTACAGCCCACTTCCACTTACAAAGTGCTTTTTCACACACTAGTTTGTCTGACTATTCCAGGGGAGACAGCACACACACAGAAGTGTCTAACACGGGGTCCAGCACTTACTAGGTAAAATCTTGATTTTCTTTTATTGGCTAGATGAAACAATGGAGGTTCAGGGAGATTAGACTGTCCCAATGTTACACAGCTAGTAAGGGGATATTGTCATTTGTTATATTGATTAGCCAGTTAACTGTATTCTCAATTCTTGGACTTTAATGCTGAGTCTGCTTTCATTGGAAGTTACAAGGCAGATCAGAAGGCTATATAGTTCAACTTCCTATTGTGTGGTATTCAATCCTGGATTAGCATTACCAGATAAAATGCAAGATGGCTAGTTAAATTTGAATATCATATGAAAAATTAGTAATTAAAAAAATATAAGTATGTCTCATGCAACTGTTACTAATACCAGGGATGACAGTGGCCCTGGGACCCCCTCTGGAGAATGAACAGCAGGGTGCAATTGGTCATGTGCTCAGAGGGAGCACTCGTATTCTAAGATATTAGAGGAAAGGCCTTCTGACCAGGCTTTCCCATCTAACTGAGATTGGTCACCTCTCTCATGGGAGGATTTGAGATTTTAGGGGGAACCCAGCTGAGGCAGGGGCTGACACAGTCTCTAGGACATCCAGAAATAGATGTAGATGATGACAATGAAGTCTAATCAGTAAGGGAGAAGGGAGAGCAGGTGTGTCATGGAGAGGTGATGAGCTTAGTTCTGGAGGCGCTGAATTGAGGTGTCTCTGGTCGTGCCCAACAGGCAAGTGGATATGAGTCCAGCATAGATACAAAGTAGAGAGTTAGGTATCATCAGGGTGTGGATGGTGGTCAAGATCTTGAGAAAAAATGAGATGGCTATGGCAGACATATGAAGTAGAAAAGGGACTGGCCTAGAAGCCCGAGGAAGACCAACAGGAAGGAGTGGGCAGCGGAGGAAGACTCACCAACAAACACCCAGAAGGAAGGAGCACCGGGAGAGACGGGGGAAACCAAGAGAAGGCAGGGACGGGAAAGCTGAGGGAAGAGAACGTGTCAGGGAGAGGGCAGTACAGTCAGCACTGTCAGACGCGGCTGACAGGTCACGCAGGTGAGGTCGGGGAGATGTCCGTTGAGAATGTGGTTCTTTAAAGTGCTTGTTGTATCCCACTTTGACTTCATGGGGAATTAATCCCACCTTACATTAAGCAAAGGCTACTAAGTTAATGGTATTTTCTGTGCAGAAATTGAATTTTGTTTTCAGCCTTTAGCTAAAGACTTTTTCCAGTAGGTGCTCAGCTACTTAAACCCATAAAATTATTCTCAAACATTCATCATTTAAAAAAAAAAATGTGGTTCAGGGATGTTCATCACAAAAATTTCTGTGATAGCTGGGTTTCCCTGTGTATGTGTGTGTGTGTGTGTGTGTGTGTGTGTGTGTGTGTGTGCCCGTGTATATACAGAAATGATCACGCGCCAAGCCAGGGCATGCAGAACCATGTGCAAGGACAGGCTGGAGGCCACCACAGGGTGGTTTGTGGTCAGCCCACAGAAAGCCTTCATTTACTCTAGCAGCTTTGGGGAAGGAATATTAAAGTAGGCTTTGAAGACTGTGAGCACAGGTCAACCCTTTCACTGTCCAATGGGAAAACGGAAGACAGCAGAGAGGGAACCATTTGCTCAGTCTGTGAGTCAAGGACACAACCAGAACTTGAATCTGAGTCTCCTGCTTCTAGAAGAGTGACTTTGGGAGAAGTGGACATGAAATCCTCACTGGCCAATAAATTATAGATCAGTGACTTTGCTCATCACCTCAGTTTTTAGACAACTCTTTTTAGATTTATATAAAAGTGAAATACATATTTTACATACAAAATGTAAACATTACAAAAATACCTAACAAAGAAAGCAAATGACTGTTATTCCACCCCATGCCCTCACAGACAACAACAATTAAGTTTTGTCTACATCCCTTTCTCCCTCTCTCTCTCACTTAACATTGAAATTTTTAATAAAAATATTATTCTTGTTTATGCTGGATGTTGTTTTGTGTGTGTGCACGTGTTCATTATAACTGGCCTTTTTTCACTTTTGGACAACTTTCAGCACAGAAATGAATTCATTTGAACAACTGTACTATATCATTTGGTTTTGGGTCATAATTTGCTACCAGACCATACTGATGGACACGAAGTTGCATAAAATTTTCACTATAATGAACAATGTACATATATATTATTGTACACACATATTTGCACAGTTTGGGAGTCTTAAAAGGAGAAATGAAAAAAAAATGAAAAAAAAATAAAAGGAGAAATGATGGAGCAAAGCATGTAGACATTTTGTTTTAAAAGATACTGACAAGTCATCCTCTAAAAACCTGTTTGTTATCCCACCAAAAGCTTATGTGAATGCCCATTTCCCTGCATCCTTACCAACAACAGGTATTATCATTTAACAAAATCTTTCCAACTTAAATGAGGCTGAAAATCTTTTCATATCTTCATTATCCATCTCTATTTTTCAGTGAATTACCTATTCATATCCTTTGCCTGTAATTGAGGTGTATTTTGGTCAGTAAATTCTTATTGGGCAATAATGATTGGTTTGATTAAAGTAAGTCTGAGAAGACTTTGTACCAAATTGCTAAAAGTTTACCTCCAGGGACCAAGAGAAAATGAGGGAGATACTTTCATTTTTTATTTTGTATCATCTTGTATTATTTTACAATGAACTATATTACTTTTGTAATTTAAAAAAAATACATAGGAAAACAGTAACAGCTACAAATGTTTGGCCTGGATTCTCATGGCTATAAATTCATGTTGAGTTCAAGTTTTTATTAATCACAACTTATTTTTTGGTACATATGCAGAAACCATTTATTGAATGCCTCCTGGTTAGCTGGCACTGCCCTTGGCACTTTCATAGGCTTTTCATCCTCATCCTCACAACAGCCCTGTGAGGTAGGAATTGGCTCTGCTTTATAGGTAGGAGATTATTGTTTGAAATGCTTCTATTTGCCTATTTTCATGGGCTAGAGGTTCTTATCGGCTGGTGAGTCATTGGTCAAGAACTCTCACTGGTCAGGAGTTCCTAGAGGTTGCTGTAAGATTCAAATAATCAAGCTACTAGAATTTTTCCCCAATAGGAGTGATGGGGTAGGGGGGACAAGAGTGGAGGAGAGTCAGTGGTCTCTCCCTTTGTAGCACCATTTTGAGTTCATTGAGTGCTTTGGTCACTCATGCACGGTTGGGGGAGGGGATGGGGGAGAGGAGGGAAAGTGGTTATAAGTCTTCTCGCTTCTTCAGGATGAGCTTCCTCACAAGCGCTGTAACCTGGGGCCTGATTTCCTCCACCGACACAGTTGGGTCCCAAGCTCCTACCACCTTTCCATCTGGGGCCACTAGGTACTTCCAGAAGTTCCAGGTAGGCTCCTTTCCAGAAGTCTCTAGAGAAAAGGAAGGAGAGCAGTGTGCTTCTCTGTGTCCCATCTCCTGGAACTCCATTAGCGGTATCCATCCCTCCCCTGAAGCCCTGGTTCTATTAGTTAGAATGAACTGCAGAACTTTTAAAGATCCTGATGTCCAGTCCATACCCACAGACCACTTAAGGAAGAATCTCTGGGGGTAAGATTCAGGCATCAATATTTTCTAAAAGTTTTCCAGGAAATTCCAATGTGGTGCCGAGGTTGAGAACCATTACTTTAGAATTCTGTGAAGTGCCTGATAAGACAATATCTTATCTTCCTTTATTAATGATCTCAGAGACTTCCCTGGCAGTCTAGTGGTTAAGATTCTGCTTTCACTACAGGGGACATGTGTTCAATCCCTGGTTGGGGAACTTGGGATTCTGCATGCTGCATGGTGTGGCAGCAAAAAAACAAAAAGTTTTAATGACCTCAAACTACTGCATAGTCTATAACCTATTCTCTGATTTAATTCTTTTTTTAGGAGTATTTATTTAATTTATTATAACACTGTTTCTTGTTTTGGTTTTTTGGCCACAAGGCATGTGGACTTTTAGCTTCTCCCCACCAGGGATCGAACTAGCACTCCCTGCATTGGAAAGGGAAGTCTTAACCACTGGACCACCAGGGAAGTCCCTGATTTAATCTTAATGGTTCCCATATGTTAGTCCTTGGACTGGTTGCATCTGAATCATGGTGGTGGTGGTGGAGCGGGTGCTTATAATTAAACAGATTCTTGGGTCCTGCTTCAGTAGGTCTCAGGCTAATGTATTTTAAAGAGCTCCCCAGGTGCTTCTAAAACACGGCCAGGTTTGATCTATAACGATGGGAACTGGGAAGGAACTAATAAAAACACACAGGGGGAAAAGAATATTAGGACTGACCCACAGAGGGACCTTTGGTTTGCAACACTGCTGTTTGTCATGTACTCTTCAGGTGAATGGGTTGGGGGGAAGGGCAGTGAGGGATATGAAAGCACAAAAGGGATATGGAGTGAGAGGTGGGAGGAGGCAAAAATGGAGCCCCCAAAGGAAGGGAAAGGTCTGAGAAAGGAAACAGGACTTAATGACAAGCTTGGCTAATGACCCCATTTTGTGGTTCTCAGGCTTCTGGGAAGAGATCTGTTTCTCAGATACTAAGATCTTTTCTTTTTCTTTTGGTATTTTGGGGCTTTTTTTGCCGTGCCTGACAGCTTGAGAGATCTCAGTTCCCTGACAAGGCATTGAACCCAAGCCCTGGAAGGCAATGAAAGTGCTAAGTCCTAACCACTGGACTGCCAGGGAATTCCCAAGAGCTGGTATTTTAGCTTAGAAGGTTTCCCTCCTGTGGTCTACAGACTGACTGCCTCTGACTCAGGACAGGAGATACCTGCCAGCCTTCTCCAGGAATGTGGTGTCCCCTGTTTGAAGCTAAAATCTGAGAGTCCAGTTTCCTTCTAGGAGCCCCTGTGGATGGTTACAGGAACGCAGAGAAACCTGCAGAGTGACTCTGGGGGAAACTGCAAGGCAGTAAGGGTGGAGATATTCTTTGGCAGGAATATTCTTCAGTTCATCCTCAAAGATTTGTGCTAGAATAGACCATCAACCCAGCTGGGGGCATCTAGAAGGGGCCCCAGGTCACCCAGCCAGCCAGTAGCTTCTGCTGCCCAGCCAGCTGAGGGATGGTGAAGGAAAGGCAGGACTCACCAGTCAGGAACTTGAAGGCAGGGTGGGCACCAGTGCCGGTGACTGCAATCTTGCTAAACATGGGGAAAGAGACACTGTATGTGCGGCGGGCAAAATTCTCGATCTCCTTGTTGCTGTCGGGCTCCTGCTGGCCAAACTGGTTGCAGGGGAAGGCAAGTACATTGAAGTGGTGGGGCCCCAGGTCCCGCTGTAGCTGCTGCAGGGCCCGATAGTGCTGGTCTGTGAAGCCGCACTCGCTGGCCACATTTACCACCAGGGACACCTGGGCAGCAAAAACAAAACCCAAACATATACACAACCCAGAGAAGAGGCACATGTCCTGACATACCCACATGTGTGACCCCTCAACAATGAAAGCTTTCTCTCATATATGCAAGAACACAATGTATACACACATAAACAATGCTCTCACATATACACAAACACATATACACAGGCACAAATGAAATCAAACATGCAGGGGTTTACAGATACGTGTGCATACACATACATAAACACTCAGAATAAGCACACAATGGACATCAATGGGTCCGCCTATGGCCCAGGACACAAAGATACGTTAGCACACATCACACATGCCCACAAACACAGAACACCATTACAGAGAGACGCATACATACTGGTGAACTCCCATCAGGAGGTGATACAGGAGACAGAAAAGGCAGACCTGGGTTTAATTTCTGGCTCAGTCAGCTAGCAGTCATCATTCTATCCTGGAGTTGCCTATATACTTGTTGGTCTCCCTTCTAGAATGTGAACCTGCTGAGGGCAGGAGCTATGTTCACTTCACTGGGGCTGACACATGGAAAAGTCTTAGAATGTATGTGCTGAGTGAATGAGTAAGTGTGCACATACAAATGACCACCTATGTAATGGGTACATAGACAGACATGGTTTTCTTGATAAAAGGATCTCAAGAACCTCGGGGCAATCCTTTTTTGCCCTTCTCCCTCCAGCAAACAAATACCGCTTCCTTCTCTCACTAGACTAACCTTTAAATTTATAATTGCCTTATAACACATTTATTCATTGCCTTCAGGTAATAAATATAAAGTGGCTGATGGAACTCGATTATATGACTGCAATTACAATTTTGGCACCAATGCTATATTTTTCAGCTTCTGGTTACATATTATTGCAGGATTTAAAATCTTACCCTGTATCTGGGCAGCCAAGTCCTATCAATCTGGCCACCTTTTAATAATACATGTGGCAGGATTATAACAGTTGGCTCCATAGAGAGCCAGGGGCAGCTCAGGGCACTGGACATGCTCAGGCTGGGCAGGGTTTCTCAACCTCAGCACTATTGACATTTGGGGGTAGAAAATCTGTGTTGTGAGGTGGCTTCCCTGTTCACTGTAGAATGTCTAGCCACATCCTTGGCCTCTACCCACTAGACGTCTAGTCTTACTAATCAAAAATATCTCCTCTAGACATTCCTGAAAGTCCCCTGGGGAGAAAGATCACCACCAGCTGAGAACCACTGGGCTGGATGATGAGAACCATTGAGCTGTAACTCCCTCACGCATTTCTTGGGGCCCCAGCCTGTGGCTAGTTTGTCATCATATGCCATATTGTGAGACCCATTTAGCTCCCTTCACTAGTTGGAGGTCTTCCTCTTTCTTCTCTGCTGGATCCCTGGGCACTGAGAACATTAAAGGTTGTTTGTTTCTAACCTACATCTTGTGTGTCTGCCCGTATTTTTGGAAAGAGGGAAATCCTACTTCTATTTCCATGCCTGAATCCAAAAAGCTTATCTTTAAGTGACCAAAACACAGATGTGTGTATGTGCTCAGTCATGTCTAACTCTTTGTGGCCCCACAAACTATAGCCCACCAGTTTCCTCTGTCCATGGGATTTTCCCAGGCAAGAATACTGGAGTGAGTTGCCATTTCCTCTTCCAGGGGATCTTTCCAACTCAGGGATTGAACCTGTCTCCAGCACTGGCAGGCAGGTTCTTGACTACTGAACCACCTGGGAATTTAAAAAATATAGATACACCCAAATACACACAGTTAATTTATATATATACATATATAAGTACAGATGCAAACTCACATGTATATGCAAAATAAATAAACCATTCACACTGGGGGCATTTCCCTGGTGGCTCAGATGGTAAAGAATCCGCCTGCAATGTGGGAAACCTGGGAAGATACCCAGGAGGAGGGCATGGCAATCCACTCCAGTATATTCTTACCTGGAAAATCCCCCTGGACAGAAGAGCCAGGCAGGCTACAGTCCATGGGGTTGCAAAGAGTCAGACATGACTGAGCGACTAAGCAGCACACATACACTATACTCAGGCCTACATGTACATAACCTCACAGCACAGGCAAAGGAATTCCTGGGTGTCACGCATTCATCTACACTCCACACTGGTCTGAAGGACTGTCCCCCAGTTTGTGCCTGAGGACACAAGCCATACAACTTTGCCCATGGCTATGTTTCCAGGGCACATATGGCCATGTCTCCCTGTGGCAGGCACGTAGTATTTGTAAGGTAGCCAGTGTTTTTTTTTTTTTTCTTCTAATTAAAAAACAAAAAAAAACCTATAGTAAAATACACATAATGAGCCAGTAGCTATTTGCAGGTGAATGAATGACCATACTGCCAAAGGGGCAGACGAAGCTTGGGTTAATTCATAGTATCATTTACAGCTTCCTGGCCTGACTGTTCCTGGTTTCCCTCTAAAGCTGGAGATTAAGACATTGGCTATGGAACTGGACTGCCTGGCCCCAAATTCTATCTCTATCTCTTAGCAGCTGGGTGACTTTGTGGATTTTTTTGTTTTTGTTTTAAAATTTCTTTCTGATTGAATTCTAGGCCTCTCACTCCAGTGCTTTTTTAGGATTTACCAATGACCTAGAGGACGAAAACATTCATAATTCTGGGACCACTTTCTGGATAATTTTTTTCCAGGATTTCTGTTCCTCATATCCTGGATGCCTTATTACTTCTAAAAACAGTCTTTGTCTGTTTTTGCCTTACTACCTATTACCTATTAGAAACTATATTGTTCGTGTCTCTGTTCTTTGTTTCCTGTATGTCTCCTCTCAACCTCATATAAGCTCTATTAAAATTGAAACTTAGCCACTTTGTTCACCGTTGCATCCTCTGTACCCTCAGGGTTGGCATGGTACTTAGTATATAGTAGGTGCTCAATAATAAATGAGTTAACGAGTAGTAGAGCTGGTCAAGTGTTAAACCTGGGGCTCTCTGATGAGCTGCACTAGAGGGAAGGGAAGGCCGGAATGGGAAGAGGTCCTGCTCTGACTGGCTGTTTCCCTGAGTCCTGGATGAGATTTCTGCTGGGGCCCAAGAAACACAAGCACAGAGCACTGTACCAGGGGTTTCCACACTGCACGTCATTTGAACCTCACAATACCTTGGGGAGGGGGGAAATCTGGACAAGGGCTACTGTCCCCAGGACTCCCAGCATAATTGAGAATTTCAAGGGGTAGAGAGTACTTTCTTCATTGAAGATGGCCTTGCTCGTGGAAGATTGCTAACAGCCATTTTCTTGTGTGGTTCATCCAAACCTGGAGGCTGAGCCTACCTGTCCATTAGAGACCAACTCCTTACCCTTTCCACACACAGACCCAGGTCTACCTTGAGAAGTGAACTTGGAGGGCTCTTCGTTTCACACAGTGAAACATTTAGGTCTCCAAATAAAAGTGTTTAAGGCCCCTTTTGATCACTCCCTACCCTCTTTAGCCTCATCTTTCAGTGTCATACTTTATACTCCTTCAAGCACAACTGCTTGAGGACCTCACTACCCCTCATCACCCTTCTTGCTGTTTATTTCTGAGCCTTGCTTCCCTGGTGGCTTAGATGGTAAAGAATCCACCTGCAATGAAGGAGACCTGGGTTCAATCCCTGGGTTGGGACGATCCCCTGGAATAGGGAATGGCTACCCACTCCAGTGTTCTGGCCTAGAGAACTCCATGGGCAAAGAAACTTAGCAGGCTACGGTCCATGGGGTGGTAAACAGTCGGTTCCACTTGGCACTGACAGTTCTCTTTGCCTGAAATGCTCTTCTTGGTTTTGCTAAAACTCACTCTTATTTCAAAGACTCACCCAGGCACACTTCCTCTCTCAAGGCCTCTCTGAGCTGAGATGCCCCTTCTGTAAGGAGGTAGCAATTAGGCTGGATGACTTTTCCATCTCAACCTGAGCTGCCGTCTTAAAAGTCTGCCTAGAGGAGACCACAGATGGACGGGCAGTTCTGCGCCAGGCTTCCTGCTTTCTAGCGCTGTGTGAACCTCCATCTCTGGGCCTTAATGTACTCTCTAAAACTGGGCTCCCCAACCTCTGAGCTGTATTGCCTGATGACCTGAGGTGGAGCTGATGTAATAAAAATAGAAATAAAGTTCACAATGAATGTAAGGCATTTGAATCATCCTGAAACTACCCCACCCTGCCCACCCTCTGAAAAAATGTCGTTAATGAAACCAGTCCCTGGTGCTAAAAAGGTTGGGGACCGCTGCTCTAAAAGATGATGTGTAAGGTACCAGTGCCTCTGAAATGATAACTTCCTCCGCACCGAGCTTTCATTTTCATAGTGTTCTCACTGCACTTAATATCGCTAACTGCCTCTGTTCCGGTCGCGGAAACTGGGGATGGGAGAGACAAAGGCTGCTCCTGTTAATTTTTAAACCGGTGCGTGACAGGCTGCGCCCCGCTGCCCAAAAGCGCTGGGAGGGAAATCGGCGCGAGCACGAGAGTTTCGGGTTTCACCGCGCACGCCGGGCTGTGCCACGTAGTCATGGGCCAGACCCGGCCGAGGATCTGGGGGCGCCACGCCCGGGGGGGGGTGCCAGGGTCGGGGCGGGGAGCCAGGGCTGGGTGACCGAACCCCCCGAGCCCCACGGAGCCCCATCCGGCAGGGTCCTGGGCGCCCGGCTCCCCGGCCAGGGTCCGGCGGGGCGGCGCTGAGGCCCGGCGGGCGGACACTCACCGAGCCTCGGTACTTCTCCAGCGACACCAACTTGCCCCGGATGTTGACGGCCTTGAAGTCGTAGAAGTCCTGCTCCCGCGGCGCGCAGGCCGCCGCAGCCAGGAGCAGCCACGCCGCCGCCCGTGCCGCCACCATGTCTCGCTCCGGAGCGGGCGGCGTGGCGAGGGCAGAGGCCGGGCAGGGGGCACGGGCGCCGCAGGGGCGGGAGGCAGGAGGGGGCGGCCCCGGCGCCACGCGGCCCTCCGGGCAGGACGCGCCCCCTTCTTCCCAGCGGGCGGTGGAGCGCCGGCCTCTGGACCTCGGTCTCCCCATCTGTACTGCAGGAGTGCTGGGCTCCGCGCCCCTTCCCCGACCCTAGAGCCATGGTTTCAGGATTCTGACCACTGAGACCCGAATTCGTTTCAATGAGGTTTCCTCTTGTTCCAGGATGCAGGGAAAGGGAGTGGAAAAACTGCATGTGGGAGCTCCCCTTCTGATTAGTGCCCTTTGGCTGGTCGCTTCCCCTTTCTGGGCCCCAGTTTCTCATCCGTTCCCTTCCTGACGCACCTAGACAGGACAGAATGATCGCAATAGAAAAACGGATGTGAAACGTTTTGAATGGTGCCTATGAACTTTGGGTAAATGAATGAACAGTCCCTAAAATGATGGGACAAAGAAGACAAGGCAGAGGGCGAATTTCAGGTTGGATTCCTGGGAAGCAGATTCTGAGATGGAGATTTGCAGTGCAGGATGTTTGTGGGGGAGTGCCCTTGGGATGAACACCTGTGCAGGGAGGGAAGGAAGTGGAGTGGGCGGAAGCCCAGAGCTCCATGCAGGCTCAAGGACAGTCGTGGTTGATCCTGCAGGGGCTCAGGAGCTAGAATGGCCCGTCAGAGTTGTCCCCAGGTGAGCTAAGGTGACCAGACCAGGCCTTTATATCCCTGCCTTCATCTCTCATGGGTTGTGGGGCCCATCTAGGAAGAGGTATGACAGGAACCAAGGTATCTGTGGTGCGTGGCTGACAGTTAAAGGCTCTTCACTGACAGCATTCCCAACAGCTGGTGTTCCAAGTCTTCCCTGATGGGGCTTCCGGGAAGCATGTCACAGTGTCTCCCAAACTTGGAAAACCCTTAGGGTGCCCCACTCAGTGCCAAGCATGGTCCTGAATGCTGACATTCTCCAGGGGCTCGGAAGCTGGTGTGAGAAAACTAGAGTTTTCATGTAATGCAGTATGGACTAAGCACTTCTACAGTCACTCAACAAATGCTTCTTCCAGTTCTATACCAGGTCCTGCTCTAGGTGCTCTAGGTGCCTTTCATGCAAAGGATAAGAGAAGACAGAGAGGCAGGTAGGTGTGAGGTCACACAGTCCTGACGGGCCACAGTGAAGATTATGACCCTTAAGCCAAGAAGTAAAGCTTCTTTTTTTCAGGCCCTGTGGGTTTTGGTATTTTTTGTTCCCTGACCAGGGACTGAATCTGGGCGCTCAGCTGGGAAAGCTGAAGAGCCCTAACCTAGCAGTTCAGTTAGGGAACTGAACCGCTAGGGAATTCCCCGAAGCTGCTGCTGCTTTTTTTTAAGCAGGGGAGAGACAGTGAGTCCTGTGTTGCAGAAAGAGTCCTCTGGATAGGAAGAGGCAAGAGCAGATGTGCTCCACACTCTGTGATAGAGGAAATTCTGGGGTTTTGAGACCATTGCTAACCTAGCCACCAGGGAAAGCCTCTTGGAGGTGGTTAACACCAGGATCATGTCTTCAAAGAGGAATGGGAATTCTCCAGCTTGGGAAGGAGGAGGGGAAACTGTCTGCGAAGACACAGAACCCAGAAGAAGTACTTGGCTGTTAGGTGAGAAGGGGTAAACGATAGATGAGGCTGGAGGGGTCATCAGGGGCCAGAAGAAGAAGGGTCTGGAGAGCCAAGCCAAGGAGCTTGGACTTCATGCTCTAGACTATGGCAGGCAAAGGTTTTGAAGCTGGGCATAAGGTTATACAGGTGACAGGTCTCAAACCCGGGCCTTCAGATTAAGAACATGAGTTCTTTCTGTATACCAGGGCAGCTTCTCTCTTCAGAAGCAGACAACATTTTAAGGAGGTGTGGAGATTAGGAAAACGGCTGCTCTCGGCAAGGGCCAAGGCAAAAATAAAGTACTCCTGCCTTCATACTCCTCCTTCCCCATGTCTTATGGGAGTCTTGAGGCTGTGATGGGTCCTATGGAATAAAATGGTCCCCTCTTTTCTGCCCTGCCCTTGTGAATCTTTTGGTCTCACTTCCTGCCATCTGTCCCTTTCACTCAGCCTTTCCTTGCAAGTCCCAATCACCAGGAGATCTCAAATTCTGCCCCACAAAACCTGGGAGTTTTGCAAGCTTGGCCAACTTATTTCCTGTTACAATCCAGATACCCAGGCATTTCTAGTAAGCGGGGGGAATTGTGGTGAATTTGTAAATTTTGCTTGTAAATTTCTCACAGGGCATTTCCCTCCTTCCTGTTCATGCTTCAGAACCCAGCTCAGATAACATCCTTCTCTGTGGCTGCACTTAATCACCCTCTCCTCTCTGTTGCCTTTGTACTTAGGACATTTTCCTGTTAGTGAGCTGATGATAATATTGTGTAGTTGTCTGTTTCCATGGTCTATCACCCCATCATACCTGAATCATCTTTGTGCCCCCCGGCACAAGCTAGCTATTCAGTAAATACTCATTTTTCTTAAATGTTCTGGTGACTTTTACTACTTGTCTATACTGGAATCTAATATGAAATGTTGATTTTAGCCAACAGTATATATTTTATCAGGTTTCCCAGATGGTGCTAGTGGTAAAGAATCTGCCTGCCCATGCAGGAGACATAAGAGATGCGGGTTTGGTCCCTGGGTTGGGAAGATCCCCTGGAGGAGGGCATGGCACCCTGGGTTGGGAAGGTCCCCTGGAGGAAGGCAAGGCAACCCACTCCAGTATTCTTGCCTGGAGAATTCCATGGACAGGAGACAATTCATAGAGTTGCAAAGAGTCGGACACAACTGAAGCAACTTAGCACACACGCATATATTTTATCATTTTATTTTCAGTCCACTCTATAAATTTTTGGTGTTTCTGAAAGAGCACAGATGTTTCTAGGTAGTCCATTGACACAAACATGAGACCTCCAGGCACAGACAAATGCACCCATAGTCTCAGCTGAGCATCTGGAGGAGTAGAGGACTCAATCCTGGATCCCCCATACTCCTCTTCCCTATAATAAACTCAAAGAAGCTTTTTATGGATATTTAGAATACTTACTGGGCTTCCCTGGTAGCTCAGCTGGTTAAGAATCCACTTGCAGTGCAGGAGTCCTGGGTTTGATCCCTGGGTTGGGAAGATTCCCCTGGAGGAGGGCATGGAAACCCACTCCAATATTCTTACCTGGAGAATCCCCATGGACAGAGGAGCCTGGTGGGCCCCCGTCCATGGGGTTGAAAAGAGTCAGACATGACTAAGCAACTTAGTATTGCACACCCCAGAATACTTATTAATGTTTCGTTTGTTCAACAAATTGTTGAATACCTACTACGTACAAGACATTAATTTCATGGCCAGGAATATAGTAGTTAATAAAACAGACAAAAAAATTCTTGAACTTACATTCTAATCGGGGCAGGAAAGGATAATAATTAAAATTTATAATATGGAACATACAGTACATTAGATGGTGACAAGCAAGAGCGAGGGATAGAGAGTGTGGTGGTGGTGGGAAGGGATTGCAACATTATTTCAAAGATCAGGAATCCTCACTGAAAAAGTGGTTTGGGCACAGATTGGAAAAAAGAGAGCAAACAAGAGAGAAAACTTTAAGAAGAGTACCATTCCAGGTAGAGAAAACAAGTAAAAGGCCTAGAGGCAGGAAATGATGTGTTTGGAGAACAGCAAGGAGGCTAGTGTAGCTGCAGGGGAGAGAGGGAGGGGAGGATTAACAGGGCATGAGGTTAGAGAGGTAATGGGATAGGAGTGGGGGCAGAGACTTAATAGCCACCATAAAGACACAGGCTTGGAATCTGAGTGAGGTGGGAAGCCCTTGAAGAGCTTTAAGCACAGGAATGACATTTCTGTTTTAACAGAATCAGTCTGACTGCAGTATTGAAATAAGGAGACTAGTCAGGCTAGACTAGAAGGCTATTGCAGTCATCCCAGCGGGGAGGGGGACAACATAGAGTCTTAGGCCAAAGTGATGGCAATGGAAGCAGTGGGATGTAGTCCAGATTCTGAATGTATTTTGAAAGTAGAAGCAAAAGGATTTCTTGACAGGTTGGATGTAAGGTTTGAGAGAAACAAAAGAGTCACAGATGATTTTAAAGTTTTTGGTCAAAAAAAATAAAATAAAATAAAGTTTTTGGTCAGAGGCACTGGAAGGGTGAAGTTGCTATTAATTGAAATGAAGACATCATCATTCTGCAAGGACAACTGGTTTGGAATGGGAAATCAAAAGTTCAGTTTTGGACATGTGAAGTTTGAGTTGCCTATTATTAGTGGTATGCTGGTAAATGTTTAACAACTGGCTCTCTAGGGAAAAAAGCTATGTAAGAGTGTGTGTGTGTGTGTGTGTGTGTGTGTGTGTGTGTATCCCATATCAGTTTGTTATAAAGTTTTCTGGTATAAATGATGCATAGCAAATAATTCACAAATAATAATAAACATACAATACTCCTTATTGTAAATTCCACATGGCCAATTTATACTTACAGAATGTTTTATTCAATTTTTGCCAAACTTGTATCAGTAGCCAATTAATGGCTGAACTGCTGAATGAGTATAGTTCTAGGATGAATGTTTGCTGATATTTTCATTTGCATTAATGGTGAGATGAAAGTGAAACAATAAAGACATGTTGGAATTCACTACAGAGACATAAGTGGCTTCTATGCTGAATGGGTTAATAGTTTTCCAATACTAGAATATTTCCTCAAGTTTTAAAGTTATTTACAATGTAATTGCTAGACACAATACACTGTAAATTTATTTTGCATTATTAATATTTTCCTATCACTTAAAAAAATTATTTATTTATTTTTAGCTGTGCTGGGTTTTCATTGCTGTGCGGGCTTTTCTCTAGTTGCAGAGAGTGGGGCTGCTCTCTAGTCAGGCTTCTCATTGCCGTAGCATCTCTTGTTGTGGAGCATGGGCTCTAGAT